GAATTAAAATTTCTTTTTTTCCAAAAACTAGCAATGTTTTTAAAAACGCGAGGCTGTCGTGAACAATTCAGCGGCCAGTCGGTAAAATTGCTGAACACTGCTTGCCATAATCAGCTAAGCCAATTCAGTGAATGGACTCTTAAGAAATTTCGCATTGCTTGATGGGAAGGAAATACTTGATCTTATTGCAAGAAATATGAAATTACCAACTCAGATATGGGACAAATTCTAATCGGAACAGCTGCATATTTAGTCTTCTGAAGTCGTCTAAAGATGGTAACAAATCAGAATTTTTAAAGCAATCTATGATAAGTTTAAATCTGTTTTCAGTTTTGATAAAATTAATTCAGGGTTGAAGAAACATTGCATGTAACTTAATCCAGTTTTTGGAGTATATGATTCAGTAACTGGCGAAAGTATGTAGACTGAGTGCATATTAACGTGCGCATATTAATTTTATAAAGTAATGAAATATTATAATCCCTTCTGAAACTTGCAAATGATTTTTCATCTTCGGAAGAAATACTTTTTACATAAATTTCATAAACTACATGTTCATGATATCGTGGAATAAGACTTCTTTAGCAGAAAATTTCATATCTGAGAAAATGAGTTTCGTTTCAAAATTTTAGAAATCTTTTTATAGGGGGTAAACGTTGGCTTTACATTGCCAATGTCGCAGCAATTTTCTTTGTAGTTCTTTTCTATATTGTAAGATTTTTATCTTGCATAAGGGGCTTTTAATGTACCTTGTCTAATTTAAATTCTATTTGAGGTATTTATCAAAATGTAAATGTAAGAGAAGTAATGATACACGAGTACTCCACGCCGAAACCGGGTTCTGCTGTTCCCTTTACTATGGAACAGAAACGCTCAGAGGAGGAATCTTTTGGGCCCTATTCCAACACCTAGATAATAACACTAGATCTTTCGAGAAGATGTTGCCTATTCGCGTATTCTTTATCCCTCAAAAAATAACCGTTGGGCGGGAAAACAGAACTCAGCATTACTACTACCATTAAGGTAACCAACAACCAGCCATACGCTTTTCTAAAACTGCTATCAAATCATAATACGATATTATATATATATATATATATATATTTTAAAAGTTTTGGTCAGTCCGTTAAAAGCATTAAAATAAAATAATAAAAACCACGAATGAAGATCTTGGGTTTTATTTTCAGCACTTGCCGTTATGCGTGAGTGTTTTGATAATATCCACAAATCGTGACTCTTGCGATCCTTAGCTTTGTATGTCTCTTAAACCATTCTATGTTTTGTATTGTTTAAAATATCTTGGAGGCGTTTCATGCGTTATAATTGCGAACTAAATGGAAATAACTATTGAATGTTTTCAAGTGTCTGTTTTAATGCAGAAAGCCCTTAGACCCTATTTTTCTTCGGAATCAGTCGGCCGACCGCTATATTAATGTGAGCGTAGGTGGATGTTTGACCCTGCGAAACGGAACGTTTAGGGACATGCTTGCTCACGATATGTCAATTATTCTTTGTTGCTTCTTTTCCCTGCTAGTCACGACACGTTCGTGTTGAGCGTGGTGCTAACGTCTGAAGAGTAATGTGGGCGGTTTATATCTCCTGGTTGAAGAATTCGCGTTCCATAAGTTCAGTAACATATGTTATTTGCCTAGAAACTTTCGAGCAGAAGTTCATTGCGCTATAATACATATATGTAAAAATAGTACTCGTATCAATATTCAAGAATAATGGAAATGATAATTCTTTATATATGTATATATAATTTATTTACTAAAGAAATATTGATAATATTATCTCTTATAATTTTGGTAGAAGTATCTAAAAAGAGGGAACCCAGAGGTAGGAAGTTTAATTCCGAAAATTGTTTTAAGTAACTTGAGTGTAAATTGTTAAAAATGTTTTACGGGGACTTGAATTAAATCGTGAATAACAAAATTTCAAACTTTGAAAAAGAAATTAAATTAAAAGCAAGTAATTATTGCTATTGATCGGAAATTAGTTGACTTTTCAAGGGGAACAAACCAACTCCTGTTCAATGAACAATAATTAATTTTAAGATCATACAACACACACACACACACATATATATATATAGGAACTACACCTTTGCTTGTTCATTTAGTTGATATTTCAAATTTAGGTTTAGAAGTATCTGTGATTCGGAATTAGGAGAATTAAGTAACTGCGTCTCATAGCAATCATCCAGTCATCTTCTTTAGAATGCCATACCTTAAACTGGCTACTGTTTCTTAGAATATAAATAAGGACTGGTCCTCTTCCAAAGAAGGCCAAAACTGTCTGGAACCAAGGGTTGTCGTTTGAAGTAAATTTCACGGTTTTTGAGTATACAGTATTAAAGCGCATAACAAAAGTTTTAAACCGTAGTTTTTTATAAATCGGATATATTATTAAGTATATATTCACTCGAATAAAATGCTTATTAGTTTCCCTTGCAACTTCCACATACGCATTCCTTACTTAGATAAATAAGCCTTATGTGATTTGGCTGAACTAACAAATTCAATTTGAATTTTGATTTTTGGCTGAATGAATGCTATTCTGTACATGTACAGCCAACACTCGTTGTAACGACTGATGATCCCACTCGTTGTAACGACTAATCACATCCCCGCGTGATTAAAATGGATTACCGTTATGGCCGTTACATTATATTGCTGTACTTGTTCAGGAAGCGACGAATTGTTACAGACACATCAGCTGTATTTAGTTATACATGATAAACATGCATATATTTAATTACGAAAGATCGATTATTCCATTATTTTAAAAAGCATGCTGCGACTTTACTTTTGAGTTTAACTTTTGTACATGGTACTTATTTCTTTAGAGCTAGTCCGAGACTAAATGTGGAATTCTTTTGAACAGGAAAACAAGCATGTATGTCTATTTTTGTGCATTTTGTAATTTCGCATGTTTGTTTTCCTAAACGCTTTTAATAGAACGTGCATTTGTAAGCAGAATGTAGTTTTGTGCAGATATTTTTTCTTGCACACGAGCTTATTTGTTGTAAAATAAAAGTAAAAGGTGCATTCTTTGGCGAGAAACCCATGAAATAGCAATTAGAATAATTCATCGTGCAGTAACTGTATTAGTGATAAGTTTCAAATAGATGCTTCGTATAAAGAACCACGCGTTTGATTGCATTTATTCCTTCTCGAAAATGCTCCATTCTTTGAAAATGAGAACTTGTTTCGTTTGGATATAAATTTATCGTAACATGAAGCTACCATCTGTCAAGCTCCTAACGAAAACAAACAAAATTTAAAGAAGAGAAGGAGGATAAACACTTTGCAAGCAAACTGCTCCTCTTTTCTCACGTCTCACGACATTTAACAACCGGAACTTATAATATGTTTTACTATCTTCGAATTTCCGCTTTTTTGGACCTTGGTCCTTTCGGCTCGAAGAAAAATTTCACTTTTCTCCTTTGGCAGCGTTTTTACGATCGTTAGGCACAGGAGAATATAGCAGGAGGGAAAGGAATGGGAACCGCCATTAGTTGCCCTTTTAAAAAAGGAACCGTTTGTTAGAATGATGTTTATGACCTTCTCGAAGCTGCCACTGAAGTTTTGCAGTCCAAGGCCATTATTTCGACTTTAAATAAAAAGAGGAAGAGAAGAGAAAAAAAAAAAAAAAATTGAAGCGAGGTAGAATTTGAAGGAAAAAAAGAGTAGTAGGGGGATTACGCGGGATGTTCTGTTTTAAAATAGCATCAGCTGGAAAGATGCGTGGAGAATGTGAAGCGATTTCACTACGATGGTGCTTTCCAAGGTAGCATAAGTTGGGTATTTACTTCTACTGTTCCTAGCTATTGCCATGGCCGTGAAGACAAATTCGTCATGATTCTGATGTCTATACAGAGCATTAATGCAAATTATTAAGTTCCTCTTTACCAATTTTCAGCCGTATTTGGAAAATAAATGAATGTCTACAAATTGACTTAAATGTTCAATTTTCAAGCCCGTTGCCTGGGCTACAGAAATTGTTTTTGAATTTACGTATATGTAAAATTGCGATTGAAGTTGATTTTTTAAATTCGCTTTCTGTGTCGGTAAAATATAGTCATCGTAGCGGTCGTTGTTTAATTGTTGAAGTCATGATCTTTAGACTTGCTGTTATGATTTTTGGTGGGGAAGTAATAGTCCTTTCTTTGCAAAAGTTATTTAACCAGTTTTTTCAAGCATTTACAGTAAACTCAAGCATAAACAATTTTCTAAAGAAATAAGTCTGACATTTAAGAATTCATTTTTATTATATTATATAACCAGAAAGATGCATCTGCTTTATTTGTTGGAGGCAATTATATAAAAATTATTATATATGTAAAAATTAAGAACTGCATAAAAATTTTCATAATATTGGCATCACGCTTTGTGTGTGCACTTTTTTAATTCTTTTGTAATTAATTACATGTTAAAAGAATGTAATTAAACTAGCAGCTTTGATATTTTTATTGGTCTGAAAGGATTTTCATTATAGTTTATCATCTGTGTCAGTGTGTAAAAGATTATGATGCAAAAACAAAATGTATTGGCTAATAATTCTATTAGCTCACTTATTGGAGACATAATTTATCACCTTTAAAACAAGTTATAAATTGTTTCTTTTGTGCTTTAAATGTATATTTTCATACTGAAAGTTATTAAATCTTAAGAAAATTTAAGCAGACCCCCATCTTGAAAGCTTCGAAATTGTTTTGTTCGTCAGGATCCAAAAAGAAATGATTTAAAGAATGCAATCATTAATTTATTTCTCTTTCATTAAATTGAACTTTGAATATACAACTCAATAATAACTTGCTGTTTAAGCATATGAATTTGTTTTGTAAACAGAATTTAAAAAAATCAAATAGAGAACAAAAAGTGCTCATGATTTTGATGTCTGTATTATCTTATAGAGTAATATTACATATATTCAAAGTATTTTTGCAGTTCATCAAGTTCGTTTTTTCAGTATTAATGTTCTCATTTTCATTTTAGATCAAGTTAAATCTCAAAATGGAAAAGTTCTGGTTCATTGCCAAGCTGGAGTCAGTCGATCGGCTACCATCTGCATAGCGTATCTGATGGCCACAAAACGTTTACGCATGGAGGAAGCCTACAAGTATGTGAAGTCCAGGAGGAGGATTGTGTCCCCAAACTTCAGTTTCATGGGACAGTTACTGACATTTGAAAATAAGATTTTTTCATCTGGATCAAGATTTCATTTATCATCTCCAGGTTCTCCTCTTTTGGCAGTAGATGCATCCACTCCTGATCCTGATTCATTAACACCATCCCATGGTGCAACTCAGCGCAATGTCTTTGATTTTGTGACTCTTCCACCATCTGTCAATGAATCTGGACTAGACATGACATCTGTTAGTGTATCTGACAGTGATTTCACTAGTGTACAAACTTCTATAGCAGATTCTTGCCATAAACTAACATTATCACCATGCGTAACATGATTAAGCTTGTCAGCAGTTCTGCAGTTAACATTTTCAGGAAATGTTCATCTGGTCATTGGTCCAACGTGTAAATTGTGATTATGAGATTGTCTTTTGTAAAGAAATGTTCTATAAATGTTATTAATTTAAAACGTTGCTATATGAAATTAATGTTACTAATACTTATCCACTGTTTTTTTATATAATAGACTGCAAGATCATGGTATGAAATATTAAATGATCTTGCATATATCATAACAAATCTTTTATGTAAGAACATTGCAATACATTTAATCTTAAAATTTTGTATGCATCATTTAAAGTAGTTGCACCTCAATCTGCATGTTGTATCTAGTCTAGTAGACCCTAGTCAATATCTGAAACACATTTGTAGGAAAGTAATTCTATGTAGAAAGATCTATTGGCAATAAGTATTTTGTGCCTTTTGAGAGCCGACATAATATCAAAGTAATTTTTAAAATATTCGATTTTAGTATGTTAGCTTTTCATCAGAAAATATTCATGATTTCTGAAATGTATGTTCTCACAGGTATGTAACTTGAATTTTGTAATTATAAGTGTTATTAAATAAAGAATAGTGCAATGAAAATATATCAAATAATGTCATTTTACACAAGTCAAATTCCTTTATTTAAATTCTTGCATTAAGGATACTAAATATTTCTGTCCTATATTGTAAGAAATTTTGGTTCTTTGAAATATTTAATTTGATAATTTACATTATCTTGATTTGATTTTCATAGCAGTGCTATGTAAAATTAGCATATAATGCCATTTCTAAGATAAAAAAATATTTTAAGGTATTTCTGGGATAACACTTAAGTTAATAGAATAAGAATAATTTTGTAGTAAATTTAATATTACTTTTGATTTTTCATTTATTTGCATTTATTGTATAATGAATTGATTATGTTAATAAAATTAGACTGCTTTGACTAAAATATATATAATCTATATAAACAAAGTTTATATGCCATCCTACTAGATACGATCCGCTTGATCAGTGAGCTTTTGAAGTTTGCTCAAATATTTTGAAGAGTTTTTGCCATAATTTGGAAATGTGAGATATTTTTTACATTTCTTAGTCCATGATTATAAACAGCAATAGAATCTGGAGCTTTATATTTGTATTGGAATGTTCTTTGTATTTTGTATCAAAGTTTATAATTTAAAAGTGAAGTTTTTATCCTAGAAAATATTTTAACAGTTGTATAAAATGATTTCGTTGGAATTAATACTCTTTTTGATACTATGTATTGTGAGTGTATTGACTGGTATGAATTTAACATGTTTCTGAACTATCAAATTGATATTTAAAACTTAATGTCACTGGCAAGTCTATATATGTCATATCTAGTCAACATCTGAAAATAACCGTGCACAGTTACGTACTTTGACAGAAATTAAAGTTACCAATAAATATTTTAATGCGCTATCCATAGTTGCTTTGTTTTTATTATTTAAAAAAAATCATCTCCACATTTATAATAAAATTATGTATTTACATATTCTCTGAAAAGATAATTCAAAGTATATCACTTCACTTTTCATTTCAGCTGAAATGTAACAGTATGCCATGCATTCAACACAGTTCAGGTGTTTGAGTACACTATCTTCTATTTAGCACGGTTTTATTAAAGAATCATAAGTTAGAATAATTATGAAATCTTTATTTAACAAGTTAGAGAGTTTTCTTTATTCGGATAGAATACAATTTAAAGTTAACAGTCTTTACGAGCATTTTAAGTGTTGAAATAAAGAACTTGTAAGATGCTTTTTTAAAAGTTTTAAATAGATTCAGGTTTACTTATTAAGCAATATTATCAGGAGTATATTCCATAAAAGAATAAAGCACGAGTATAATGAAAGTACAAAATCTTTTTAAGACTTCTTGGTTTCTGAAAAAAAAAAAAAAATACGACTACGACTCGATATTACTACCAAACTATTGCAAAAAGCAACTTTGCCGGTTCCTTGAAATAAAGCATAGAGGCACATGACAGCAGTTCCGGACGTGGGAATCTCTGAAGAGAAGGGAAATAGAAACCTCTCCTCGCCTATATATATATCGTTTGACGTTGCCGAGTTTCATTATGCAAAAGTGACACGAATTTATTCTAACAAACAGATTTTACATTTAGAAAACTCTAAAATAAGAGAAAACATCCTTAGATTGTCTGTAAGATATTTTTAAATACATTTATCTAGTGCTAATAACTTTTTAAGAAATTTTTTTGTGAATAGTGTACCCCTTGATGACATTAAAAGATTGTCGCTAACTTGATGCGTCGCATTTTTTCTGTTCTGAGTTTCACGCTAATGGCCAGCTAAAGCTAGTACCATTAGTAAATTCAAAGGTCAACAGTAATTCAACTTCAGTTTTCAGAAATTAGAATATGTCAGTTATCAGATTACAGTAGAACATGAACGTGAAACGCGTCGGATGACGAATGGTGCCTCGAATTATGAATACAAATTCAAATCGGCAAATTATGACTTTCAAGTGTATTTTGAGGTAATTTAATAATTAACAGTAAGTGATTTCTAGAATCAAATCTTTTCCGTTACTTACGTTCATTAGCAAAGCCTGGTAGCAAGTGGACAGTTACATAACCATGAATTCAGTCTGGAGGAATTATGCTCAACTTGCGGGCGTGGATTTTAAGCGCTTTGACTCTTAGAACTTTTCTCTAGGCAAAACCGTGGGCTAGGAAGGTAGCAATGAAAACGTGGGGAAGGGATTATAAAAATGAGTTCAACAAGAAAGATCTGCAACAAATTTAGAAGGTGCAGCAAAATACGATTCTGGGTGAAATATCTTCAGAAAGGAGAGGTACAGAAAAGAATTATCCGATTCCCGAAATTTGTGCTGAATGGTGCAAGATTAAGATGCAAAGTTTTCACTTAACAATATCATCCTGATAAAGCAGTAGCAAGTTACAGCGTAAACATGGTCAATGACAATGCTATGTTTCACTTTAGAACTATTTTAAAACGTAGACAATGAAAAGCACTAGCAAGCTACAGCATAAGCATAGTCAATGACAATGCTCTGTTTCACTTTAGAAATATTTTAAAACGTAGGCAAAAGTAAATCACATTGGAAAATGTTTGAAGGAAACAATAAATCTCGAGCAGAGTGAAATGGCGGTTAGAGACAGAGAAAAGAATTTTTAAAAAATGTGCTCTAAAGAACTTATGTGTTTATGAGAAACAATGTCTTCATCATTTTCCATTTAAACTGTTCATTCTCCTTCGTACAAGTACACTAAAATTAAGTTTTCATTCATTTTATCTGTTTAATATTATGTTTATCTTTTTGGTTTCACGTTTACCGATTTTCATTGGTTTTGAATTACGAACCTGTGTATAAAGTAATGTTAGATGAAGTTTAAATAACCAGTCATCTGTGGTCTAGGAACGAGTTAGTCCATATTACATTAATTCCTATGGGGGGGGGATATTTCGTTTGACGATCGGCCTTTTCAAGCTATGTAATGTTATTTAACGAGAAACTTCTCAATTATGCAAGAAGGTCAATATATCTGCAAATAGCATGTAGTGTAAACTCAGCCAGATCATGCGGATGAAAATATTTGCAAAATTAACTTCAGTAAAGATTAGATACACTTATTTGGTAGATAGGGAGAATTCTAAGCAACAGAAAACTTAAAATTTAATCCTTATCTATAGACTTGCGAGGAAAATCCGGAGTAAACTGTAAACTTAAAAATAGCACAAGACTAGTTTTGATAACGAGGTTAAACTCAGAGATTAACTTTATGCATAGAAATTTCTTGTAAACATCCACTGATGAACTGATGGCGTTTGATTTTCAGTGTTCTGAGATCTGGAGATATCAAAAGTTTTGATAACACCTACAGTTGTGAATTTGAGAGCATATATATATATTTTTAATTGTGGGCGAACATCTGCTAAAAATACGAGTATCTATTCCATTTTCATTCCGTGTATAGTTTAATAAAAAGAAATGCTGCAAAAATCCGTAAATAATGGTTAGCTTAAACACTTTCTGAAGAAGGTACACGTACACTAAAGGGATAAAAGAGGTGGAAAACAGACTTCGGCGCGTTATTTTGGAATGCATTTGTGCAGTAAAACATTAAGCAAATCAATTAGATCTGCGACCTTGAGAAAATGCTGACCAGAAAGCACCTAAAAAGAATGCGTAATCAGACAAACTGCCAAAAAACTTTATAAAGAAAATGTTACCACAAAAGTATGGCTAATGTTTTAAGGCATTTCAGACGAAGACATTCAAACGACACGTCCATTCGCCTGCGAGAAAAATGTTGCAATCTGTCGAAGATAATTGTAGATGCTTACTTGAGAAATTTTTGTTTGTGAAAAATCGAAAATAATAAATAAGGCATACTATTAAATGCTGCTAAAACTTGCCAAGCTACGACAGAAAAGACCAAATTTGAGTAATAACAATCTCCCAAAAGTGACTACGACAAGGTGGAAGTTCGGTTTGGTTTAATTACGGCAAAGCACTCGAGGCCGCCCAGACGCTATAGTGATTAGGGAAGCCTACTGCGGTGCTGAAGGGCCCGCGTTCGAATCTCGGAGAAAGTATGGGTTCTTGTAAATGTGTAGTGTTCTGCGACATGGAAACATTCTAAATATATGGCGATCCGAAAGTCCTTTCGTGTGGTTTGGTGAGGGAGAAACCTCAGACCACCCCCTCAAAATTGGAGTGGGAGTAGAAGTCCAACCTCCTTGAGGCTCCGGCAACCATTGTTCCATGAAACCCATGGACAACATCATTAAAGCACTCGAGGGCTATCTGTCTAAGGGGAGGAACACCTTCGTGGAGAACTTTCTATGGGGCATTGGCTCGTAAGCTAACTCGTTGACCTGCATTCGACCCCGGACCGAACTACAGTGTTCAGCGACTTTACTGCTCGGCCGCTGGTTTGCCTGAAGGTGGAAAAAAGTATCCTGAAAAGGAAATATGGGAACAATTGTCGGGTATAACGGTTCCCTATATTTAGACAAGTGGTTCCGAATATGAAATTAACTGTATCTGGCCTACTACAGGCAATAATTCATCATATGACTTTATTCGTGCATTGAACAGTACTGGTTTTTTATTTATCCTGACAAAGCCAGCCATTTCTCACGATTAACTTAACACGCTATCTAGAAAAATCAACAAAAAAGTAGAATCAATGTTCGATTTAACCACATGTCAAATAAAACTCTTGATGTCTTCTCCCAAAACATTTTAACTTTGGACCTGCTGAAAGATGTTATCAGAAGATAATAACATTAGCGAGTTTGCGGAAAACAATTTTATCGCTGTAATCTCAAGTTGACCTTGAGTTTTAAGAGAAAGCCTAATAATTCTAAAATGTTAAATGCAGAACCATATTTAAGAATCAAAACTTAGTTGATGAAATTTTCGGGGAAAAAGTGTGATCAAGTCTAATGTGTATACCCCGGTTAAGACAACAACAGAAGTCTGCCAGATTGTTATTAGATGAAATGTAATATTTGGTATACAGCAACAGCAATAATAAATGCAACTGTAGAATGTTGTGCATATTCTCTAAATCCATCACAGCCGGAAGTTTAAGACAACAACAAACTCTTATAGCCGCTCCTGCTACTGAAAGCAACTGCGGCGTTTTGTAACGATTGCTGCCAGTAAGTGGGTTTGAATCCACGCCTTCTAAACAGTATCCGTATTAGGCAGGAGGAGACAGGTGCTATATACCATAGTCGGCAAAAGCCAGCCTTCTAGACACTATCCGTATTAGGCAGGAGGAGACAGGTGACAGGTGAATGCAGGGCCCGGACGGCTTAATATGACAAATCGGGTGTCGTCCGGTACCCGCACCTATTTAGAACAACACAACCCTGGCGAATTCCTGAAAGGGCTGCATCGGGAATATATTAATGGAGAATATGTGGTATTGACGTGGCCAAACAAGGGCGTGTGCATATATATGCTTCAGTATACAATTAATAAAAAGTTTCATACATAGGTACATTGGTGGTATAGGTACATTGGATACATATGTATATTGGTCTAAGTGGTTAATGAGATAGGCAAACAATAAACACTTATACATTAAAAGAAAGGAAACACTGACGCAACTGGCGCAATAATGCAGAAGATGACAATTAATGGATACACGTAATCGTGTGTCATCCTATATGACTATACATAAACTACTAGAAATGATATGCATAAACACATACAAATGATGGCGATAATGAAAACACACAATCATACATTATTCTACTATACCTATACACACATCAATAAAAATGATACATACACACCTATACGTTGACAGAAATGATACACTGAGTATGAAAATTGTGTATCAGTGTGAACGATGACAATTAAAGGTTACACATATTCGTGTATTACCTTACTTAGCTATACATATATATTAGTACAAATACACTTAAACACTTATACATTAATGGAAATGAAATACTGAAAATGGCACTTATACATTATACGATAGATGAAGAATAATGGTAACACGTAATCGTGTATCATCCTAAGTGGCTATACATACAGTAATAGAAATGATACACTTATACATTAATATACATTTATAACATGGTAAATGATGCATTTATACATTAATAAAAATGGTACACTGACAATGATATTTTCACATTAATACGTGTGTGTGTGAGTATGGCAAAGCCTCGAGGGCTATCTGCCTAAGAGGAGGGATGCCTTTCGTGGAGGACTTTCTAAGGGAAACTGGCTCGTATACACGTTACACATGGGGAAAACCACGAAAACGCCCATGCAGCCAGCCCGTTCGCGGGATTCGAACCTCGGACCGAACTACCAGTGTTCAGCGACTTTACCGCCCGGCCGCTGGTGGGCCTCACATTAATACGAAAGATGACAAGTAGTGATAACACATAATCATGTATTATCCTACTGAGCTATGCGTACATGAATAGAAATAAGACATTTTATGCACCTGTAAGTTGACAGAAATGTTGCACTGAGTGTAATGCCTGTGCATCATTGCGAGAGATGACAATTAATATTTACACATAATCGCATATCGTCCTACGTGGCTATATATACATTATTATAAGTGCTACACTTAAACATTAATACTAGAAATGACACACTGAAGATGGTACTTGTGGATAAATATGAAAGATGACGATTAATAAAAATACATGAACATAAATTATCCTACATAGCTATGTATACATTATTAGAAATGAAACCTTTAACACCTATACATTAATAAAACTGATACACTGAATTGTGTATTAATGCGAAAAATGAAAATTAATGATTATACATACTCGTGTGTTATCCTACATGGCAATATAGACATTAGTAGAAATGATACGCTTAAACACTGATACATTACTACAGAAGATGCACTGAAAATGGTACTTGTACAGTAAAACGATACATGACGATTAGTCATAACACAAAATCCTGTGTTATTCTACATGGCTTTACATACATAGACAGGGATGGTACACTTAAACGAATGATGTACGTTGGATACAAAAGTGCGTTGATCTAGATAGTTAAAACTAAAGTAATGGTATGCAACAATTATTGGAGATGCACTGGTGATTAATGAAATATTGAATGACAATTAAAAACATAGGTAAGAATGAGTGACAATTAATGAAGGCACGATACATAAGCACATTGCCATAGGTACATTGGATATAAAGGTTGGTTATGTGGAAAGGATAGGGTTGTGGTTAAGCCGAATCACACAAGTCCTGGCCTAATGCTTGCAGTCTGTCCATAATACTTTTGAGTTTTTTAAGTACCGCTGGTTGGCGAATAAAGAATCTTTTATAGGCTGGATCTGTGTTGTAAAACGGCATGTGCCACTCTCGTGTTAGTGGGCAGAAGGTGACATAATGGTCCGGGCTACCTGGCTGGCCACACACACAGATGTTGGTGTTTGTTATTCTTCGCTCTAGAAAATATTCAGGGAATGGACCATGACCCGTTATAAATCTGGTGATGTGTGGCTGAGATATCTGTTTGTCAAGGCTGACTTTGTGAGCGAATTCGTAGGTCCTTCTTCTTTGCGGAATAGAATTCCACTCTTCCTGCCATTGCTTGAGTGCGGCGTTTAAAACAGCCTTCTTTACATAGGATTTTGGTAATTTTATTGCCAGTTGTTCCGCATCGAGATTGCTCGCGGCTTCTTTGGCTAGTAAATCTGCCTCCTCATTCCTCTGGTGTCCAGCGTGTGCTTTAATCCAGAAGATGAGGATGCGTCCTTCGTACTGGTGCAGGGTTTGCTGAATGCGCCCTATGATGGGCGACCTGTGAAAAGGATTCCGAATTGCATGAATTGCTGACAGGCTGTCGGTGTGTATTTCTGCGGTGGAGTAGCTAAATTGACTCGCTGCTAGGATTGCCTGGCGTATGGCTTCGGCTTCCGCCTGAAAGACCGAGTTGCCTGCGCCCAGAAAGCCTTTCCAAGACCTTAAGGTGCTTCCATTTCGTTTGATGGTATAGCTACAGCCTGTCGTTCCATTCACCTGGGAGCCATCTGTATAAATCTTAAGGGCATTAGAGTGATCGTTGTTGTCTTCAAGCATCGTTGTATAAGCATGGACATTCTTGCAGAAAAGGGCCGGGTGTACTTCCGCAACTTGTAGATTGCTCTCAAAGTCCTCCGGTGAGAAATGGAGGTTCTGGTATTGAGCAGGTTGCTTAAGGAGAGTGACTTTTGCGATGACCGCTTCCATTTGAGCCCGTATGTGCAGTGGAATAAGTCCAGCCAGCACTGTGGCTGCTGCAGTCGCTGTGGTCCTGTAGGCCCTCGTGATGGCCAAAACAAATGGGCGTTGAACGCTGTTCAAAATTTGTAAAATTTGTTGCTTCCTTGTAGTCATTGGAAGTGCCCATATGGCCGCTCCATAGATAAGTGTTTTTTCTACCACTGTGCTGTATATTATCTTTAGGATGTGGGGCCGGAGCCCCCAGTCTGAGTCTTGCATGCCCTTTACTCGGGAGGCTATTATGAGCTTTAATGCGTTGAGCTTGCAGATGAGGGAGCCAGGAGAGTTTTTCATCGATTAATAAGCCGAGAAGCTTTAGTTCTTTCACTCGTTTTACTCTCTTTTGTCTAAGGTTAATACATGGATTGCGAAGGAGTGTCTGGCCAGGTTTATGGAATATTATATATTTCGACTTGAGCTCCGAGATTCGTAGCTTCTTTTGGTTGCAGAGCATGTCAAACTGCGAGATAACGTCATTGCAGCGGGCTTCGAGAACGTGCCTGCTGTGTCCTCTGACGATGAATGTAGCATCATCTGCAAATGCAAATGCCTTCGCTCCTTCCGGCCACTGAGTGCACAAGATCGAATTGAAAGTCACGTTCCATAGGACAGGACCAGCGCATGATCCCTGTGGACAGCCCCTGGTCTGTTGTCTGGTAATGATTCCTCCGTCGTGCACAACTATGAATTTTCTGTTGCTGAGGTAACTTTTAAAAAACTGTAAAAGATTGTTTGGAATATCAGCTGTGTGCAGGGCTTCGAGCACAGCAGGCCACCACAGGGAATCAAATGCACTTTGGAGATCTAAACTTAGTACTGCTACGTGTTGATTGTTACTGCGAGCTTCCGTGATTTCTTTCTGAAGAAGATCAAGGGCATGGACCGTTGATATGCTTTCCCTGAAACCGAATTGTAGCTGCGACAAGAATTTTTTCCGGGTGAGGTGATGATGCTTTAGTCTGGTGACTGCAAGTTTTTCTAAAACCTTCCCTATTGCCGACAACAAGCATATCGGGCGGAAGGAGGTAGGGTCATTCGGATGCTTCTCAGGTTTGGCAAAGAGGACTACTTGCCCCGTTTTGAATGCCACTGGAAAATACCTGTGCTCCAGCAATTTGTTGAAATACTTGCAAAGGAATCCGGGTTTTGCCTTGTGTACAGCTTTGACTATGCTGTAATCAAGCGAGTCCGGGGCCTGGTGCTTTTCGCTTGGGCAGAATACGCATGATAGCGTTGACTTCCGGATCCTGAAAGGGAGGATCGTCAGTTGCCGTCGTGAAGAGCTGGTATGCCAGGTGAGAATTTTCTGTGAATTCCTCCTGACTGTCGTTGGGAAAGACTGCATCCAGGATTTTGGAGAGTACTGCCTCCTTTGTAGTCTCTTGCTCGGGTGGTGAACTGTCAAAAAGGCGAAGCTGTGGTGGTTTAAAGACACTACCTCGTGCTATTTTGAATAGCGCACCATAAATATCGGTGTTATTAGTGCAAAAGTTTCTCCAACACGCAAGCTTTGCTTTAAGAATTGCTCTTTTATATTCCGCTTGCGCCTTTCGGTATGAGATGCTGAGTGCCAGCCTAGCTTCCTGGTCGTATTCTGCTTTCATGCGCCTTCTCATTGCGCGTGTTTTACTGCGCTGCGCTCGGAGATCTTTCGTCCACCAGTTCGGCATATGCAGCGTTTTCCGTGTCTTCAGGGAAAAAGTACTGTTGCAGATATCCTGTATTGTGGAGATCAGAGAGCTGGTGAACGACTCCAGGCCCCGAGATGTAGTGCATGCTGTGAGATCTTCCTCTGCGCTTCTAAGGGAAGGCAGGAAGAGACAGGTGCTAAATACCATAGTCGGCAAAAGCCAATAGGCTAAAACGAGGCACAGTACGTCAGCCATGGAGGTAAGAAAGGAAGAAGTGGCCATCCGGCACTAGAAGTGAAGCCAAAGAATCCTTCGGTCACCAGATGGGGTGTTCTTTGTTTACATTCAGAAGCTCGCTTGACAGTGTTCTGATAGTATTTCGACACACGACAGTTCCATACAAGTCGAAAAAGGGATACTTTCGCATGAAAGAAACATTCATAGCGTGATGAATTTGTATAGTTTAGTGACATATAAGCAAAAATCCCATCTTGGTTATTTTTCGATAACTAACAACAGCGATTTTGATTATGAATTTGTTTTATAAAATTTTAAGCTGGTGAACTACAAAAATATAGATTTTAACAAAAATGTTATGCTTAAGGAATGAAAAATACCTTATGGTACCTTTAAAATTGTATACTTCTTTCGATACCCTTGATAGAGTATTCGCTACTTTTATTTTATGTTCCAAATGCCAAAATGTTTTAAATAAAATAAATTTTTTCACATCCATATATTATTGTAACATGTACACTGCTCAAAAAAAAAAAAAAAAAAAAAAAAAAAAAAAAAAAAAAAAAAAAAAAATGGGACAGTGCTATATCTCCCGTTCTACTGGGGCGATTAACAAAATTCAAACTACGTTTTTCATGTCTCGAAAGCGCGACTTAGGATATATATTAGATTTATATATAGTACTATTCTAACATAGGTATTTTGACACAAAATCGGACTTTTTCTGAAATAACATACCAATTTTTTTACATATTTCGATTCTACGACTCAAATTATGCCAGAATACCAAGTTTTGTAAAAATCGTACGAATAGTTTTTAAAATATTAGCTCTCAAAATTTTAGCTCCTCAATGTTAATTGAATTTGGCAAATATTTATTAATATCTCTTTTTTTATTAAACTTTTTTGATTTTTTCTCTCACATTTCGAAATTTAGGTTCATTCCAAATAAAATTTACCCATTTTTTTGCGTTTTATTTTTTAAATTTTTATTTTTAAATAATTTCTATAGATTTTTCGAAAAAAATTTTGAATTATAACCTATAAAATTTTTACCATCATCTTAAAGTAGGTGTATTTTTAAGCATATCTGCAAAAAATTAGACTTTTTTATTCAAAATTTTCTAAGATATACACGAATTTACATAATTTCGCGTTTTGAAATTTGGCACCTTTTTTTGAGCGATAATAACGCCAAATGTGGTCTATGGATTTTTGTTACACTGAATTGCCACAGCTATTTTTAACCTTAAACTTCAAGTAAAATTTTACGGAGAATTAATTATATGACATTTTTTCCCTCAATGATGCGTAATAAATATTTATTAATACTATATGAAAGGCTATTTTTTTAAATTATAGATGATATTATTCAAATTTTTAACTATTTTTTTTTAAATTTCTCTCGTATCTTTTCTTTTTTTAAAAAATTTAAGAGTAAGTTTTTGTAAGAGTAAATTTTTACCTTCGGCGTTTTATCGTCTGCTACTTTACTTCGTTTAAATCGAATTGTCTAAAACTGAGAATTTTCGTTTGATATTTATTTGAATTTTATGACATTAACTGCATAATTTATTTCTAAACAAACTGTTGCTTACAATATATTTTTATAGAAACATAATATTTAGAATAATCATTTTTTATAAAAGTCAAATTATGATATAAACATACAACCCTCTAGAGACTGAATTAATGGAAGTTCAATGGTTATGTAGAAATGATCTGCAGCTACTTAATGGCTGGATAAGTCAGCAGATTCTGTGGACAAGTATTACAATAATTATATAAACGACACCAACATTCTGGATTCAATAAACAACGAGGATACGATGTTTATTAAATGAATTTAAGAAGTTTTAAAACATAAAAAATCAACTCATTTTTTTCCTAAAATGTATTTTTTGTGCGTAGCGTATTTTCATTATATCCTTAAAATTCTAATTTAGAATGTAATTGTCAAGAACTGAATCCTAATCATCAGTAATATAATAAGTAATTATTACGGTTATTAATAAATCCTTCTTATAAAGTAATTGCAAATATTTCAAAAAACTTTCTGTCTGAATGCAAATATTTTTCTATGCAAATATTTTTAATTTTATATTAATCAAGATTGCACACGATATTATTTATTTGCACTTCAATTCTTACCGTCAGCTCTAGTAGAAGTTACAAATCAATTATATTTAATTAAGGATTGGATTGGATTATTTAATTATGGCAAAGCACACGAGGGCTATCTGCCTAAAGGGAGGGATGCCTTCGTGGAGGACTTTCTAAGGGAAACTGGCTCGTATACACGTTACACATGGAGAAAACCATGAAAACAAACATGCGACCAGCCCGTTCGTGGGATTTGAAACTCGAACCGAACTACCAGTGTTCAGCGTCTTTACCGCTCGGCCGCTGGTGAGCTATTTAATTAAGGAATGACCATCTGAGTTTAGAAACAGCGTACGGTAACAGCAATTCAATTATTGGCGCCGTATCTTTCATGTTACTCGCGATAGGCAAGCTACATGATTTTTAATGAGTATTCGGGTTTTGCTAGTAACTTCATTTGGAAAACGCGCTTAAACTAGGTTAGTTGGTTATTTGAATATAGAAAGAACATGGGAGCTATTTGATTAAGATGCTTTCATAGAGAACCTTTGTAAAGAGAACCTAAAAAACTACGAAAACCAACCATGCAGCCTGGGTTAGACTTCGCAGCACAAACAATTAGTATTTAACAATCTTCTTTTTCAAATGCTAGGCAACTGGTGAGGCTCCAATTAAATCTCCAATTTAATATTTTATTTGTAAATATTTAAAATATTGTTGTATTCTTAGACACAAAAAGCAGAATTTAAGTTTTGTTAACTCGTTAGTAAACTACCAAGCCGTAGTGCAAATGAATATTCAATTTCTTTTGCAATAATTGTATTCACTTAATATTCTTGGAATATG